TTTTTAATAATAACCTTAGTGGAGAAAGATGGCTGGTCACAAGTAGTAAGGGTCTCGCGTGAAACTTTGATTCACATCACCTAAGGAAGAATACAAATTCATACGTGAGGACATATAATCAAGGAAACTGATAAAATAACGTGTAGATGTCGAACACTCTATTTATCCGAACGAGTGAAATATCAAAATAACAGAATCATGAAAATAATTCAGCTGAGATCCCAATGCCTTTCACTGAAGGTCTTTCTAGCAAGAGAATAGCAAAATATCACAGTTGGCATTTTAGGAATTTCCCAGGAGTGGTGCTAAAATGAGAGACGTAGCTTCGCCTTAACATACCTTTTCAATGAAAAATCAAATGGCTGTAGCTTCTTCACAAAGTTTTTCCTTACGTCCTAAACTTTGCAAACACTATATATACACAACTGGTACACACCTATAAACAGTTCATAATTATTCTTAAATCGGCAGATTTGCCAAATGGCCTCAACTTGACGAAATGTCCGTAGAACTTTATAAAAACAATCATAAAAGAGTCCCGAGATGATTACCTTAGTTAACCATGCCATACTACGCCACATATATTATGCACGACTAGAGAAAAAGTACGGGATCTTACATTCTCCCCCCCTTATGAACATTCGCCCGCGAATGGATCTAAACAATTCCTTGGTTGTATTTTTTTTTTCTCACAGTACTTTATTTACGAGTCTATATTTATTATAGTCGCAAACCTGAAGTCAAATACTGAAAATTTTAACTACTAAACTTTGCATAGCTATCTCGTAAGAAGACATATAAATTTCACCTTCAAGCTACTTAAAATATAACTAAGTCGTTGTGAAGAAATAATTGCCAATAATCGAAATATGACTCACCTTAAGTCGTAAATAGTTGGGGGTACTCCTTCCTCATTTCCTCTTCCGCTTCCCAAGTCATTTCCTCGACGTTGTTATTTCTCCATAACACTTTCACAGAAGCTACATCTTTATTTCGAAGTTTCTGACTTGCCGATCTAAAATAGCTATTGGTACCTCTTGCATAAGATAAATCCTCAGCGATACAAATATTTTCAATGGGCATAATACGTGAAGGATCTCCAATGCACTTCCGCAACATAGAAACATGAAATATAGGATGAACTGCTTCCAATTCTGAAGGCAAATCAAGCTCGTATGCCACCATACCGATCTTCCGAATAATCTTATACGGTCCAACGTACCTAGGACTGAGCTTCCCTTTCTTTCCGAATCGCATGATGGCCTTCATAGGTAATACTTTCAGGAAAACCCAATCTTCTTCCTCAAACTCTAAGTTCCGTCGGCGAACATCTGCTTAAGACTTCTGTCGACACTGTGTTGTATGAAGACGATCTCTAATAAGCTTAACCTTTTTAATCACTTGTTGGACTAGATTGGGACCTAGCAAATCTGCTTCCCCGAGCTCAAACCAACAGATTGGGGAGCTACACTTCTGCCCGTGTAGTGCTTCGTAAGGGGCCATCTGAATACTAGCTTGAAAGCTGTTATTATAAGCGAACTCGATAAGAGGTAGATGTTGATCCCAACTTCCTTTAAAATCCAACACAGAAGCACGCAACATATCCTCATCCGTATGAATAGTACGTTCTGCCTGTCCACCAGTTTGTGGATGAAAACCGGTGCTAAGATTTACCTGAGTGCCTAGACCTTTCTGTAACGATCTCCAAAAAATTGCTGTAAATTGAGCTCTTCGATCTGAGATAATAGAAAATGGAACTCCGTGAAGACGAACAATCTCCTGAATGTAAAGCCTAGCATAATCTTCAGCTGAATATGTCGTCCTAACTGGAAAAAATTGAGCAGATTTTGTTAGCCTATCGATAATTACCCAAATGGAATCAAACCTTCGTGGAGTGCGAGGCAAACTAGTGATGAAGTCCATATTTATCATATCCCATTTCCATAACGGAAGCTCAATATACTGGGTTAGGCCTCCAGGCCTCTGATGCTCTGCTTTAACTTATTGACAGTTGGGACATTCAACTACCATCTCCGTAATATCGTTTTTCATGCCATTCCACCAGTAGATATATTGAAGGTCCTGATACATCTTCGTCGCTCCAGGGTAAGATGCATATCTAGAATAATGGGCCTCTAAAAGAATATTTGTACGGAACTTCCCAACTGCCGGTACATATAAGCGACCCTGGTATCTAAGGATTCCATCTCTAGTTAGCTCAAATAAGGGGTGTTGCTGCTGTGGAATCTTTTCCCTCAATTTCCTAGCTCAGGATCTTTATGTTGCTGCCTTTTCACTTCAGTCACAAAGGAAGATTCTGCCATATTCTTAACGACAATACCTCCGCCTCCTGCCTCTACCAAGTGTACCTGCAAATTAACTAGCTGGCATATGTCTTTTGTAATTCCAGCCTTATCAGCTTCAACATGACTTAGACTACCCATGGACTTCCGGCTGAGCGCATCAGCAATAACATTAGCTTTGTTGGGATGATATAAAATGTCAACATCGTAGTCCTTTAACAATTCTAGCCATCTCCTTTGTCGTAGGTTCAACTCCCTCTGCTTAAGTAAATACTGAAGGCTCTGGTGATCGGTGAACACATCTATATGAACCCCGTATAGATAATGTCGCCAAATTTTTAGGGCAAAGACAACTACAGCCAACTCAAGATCGTGTGTAGGATAATTCTGCTCATGCTTCCGCAACTGTCTAGAGGCGTATGCAATAACCTTACCATGCTGCATAAGAACACAACCTAGGCCAATTCTTGAGGCATCACAATAAACAACATAGCCCTCATTACCATCTGGAAGAGTTAGGACAGGTGCAGTGGTAAGCCTTTTTTTTAGTTCATGAAAGCTCTGCTCGCATGCCTCGGTCCACTGAAACTTCGTTGCCTTGTATGTCAATTTTGTCAGTGCTACAGAAATAGAAGAGAATCCCTCCACAAACCTTCGGTAATACACCGCCAAACCTAAAAAGTTGCGAACCTCCGTTGCATTCAAGGGCCTCAGCCAAGTCATCACTGCTTCAATCTTTTGTCCATCAACCTTAATACCCCCACTTGTAATAACATGACCAAGAAAAGCTACTGAGGTAAGCCAAAAATAACATTTAGAGAATTTAGCATATAATCTGCAATCTTGGAGAGTCTGCAATACAGCTCGCAAGTGGTCTGCATGCTCTACTTCCGACCGTGAATGTATAAAAATATCATCAATAAACACAATCACAAATTCATCCAAGAATAGTTTGAAGACTCGATTTATAAGATCCATAAAAGCTGTTGGGGAATTTGTAACCCCAAAAGACATAACAAGGAACTAAAAATGGCCATACCTCATCCTAAATGCTATTTTTGGGATATCATCTTCCCTGACTCACAATTGATGGTAACCAGACCGCAAATCAATCTTGGAAAAGCATTTGGCACCTTGTAACTGATCGAATAAGTCATCAATCCGTGGAAGAGGATATTTATTCTTTATAGTGACTTTATCTAGTTGTCTATAGTCAATACACATATGCAAGGATCCATCTTTCTTTCAAACAAAGAGCACTGGGGCACCCCGTGGGGAAGTACTTGGCCTGATAAAGCCTTTATCGAGAAAGTCCTTTAGTTGTTTCTTCAATTCCCTTAGTTCTGTAGGTGCCAATATATAGGGAGGAATCGATATAGGTTGCGTATCAAGAAGCAAGTCTATAGCGAAATCAATTTTCCTTTCTGGGGGAATTCCTGAAAGATCATCAGGGAATACCATTGGAAATTCATTCACGATAGGAATTGACTGAAGAGTCATGGGCTCCTTATCAATATCATGTACATGAACCATATGGTATATGCAACCTTTAGCAATCAACTTTCGAGCCTTAAGGTATGAAATAAACTTACCCTTAGGTGTGGCTGCATTACCCTTCCACTCAAGGACTGGCTCACCTGAAAAGTAAAATCGGACTATCTTTGCACGAGAATCAATATTAGCATACCAAGTTGCCAACGAATCCATACCCATGATAACATCAAAATCTAGCATAAACAACTTAGCTAAATCAGCGGAGGTTGGATGATCATTAATTAATACCGTACAACCCCGATAGACACGACTAGCTAAAATAGAATCGCCAACCGATGTAGACACCTCAACTGGTTGTGGAAACAACTCAGATTTCATGTCAATCTTACTAGCAATAAATGGAGTGATATATGAAAATGTAGAGCCAGGGTCTATCAATGCGTAAACAACTTGAGAAGATATCGTCAATATACCTGTAACAATATCAGGGGATGCCTCTGAATCCTGTCGTCCTATGAGTGCATAAAAGCGATTCGGACCACCCCTCAAACATGTATCTCCTTAACCTCTCCCTCTACATGACCTTGAGTAGACTGTGGTCCTGGTCGTGGGACACAGACTGAAGGTGAAGATGTTGCTGTGGATCCTGAAGGCTGAGCTAGATCACCTTTGCTCAACCTCGGGCACCGATTATTAAAATGTCCTGTCTGCCTACAATGATAACATGCACATGAGCCCTGTCTACACTGCCCAGTGTGCGTCTTACCGCAGTGTGTACAATGAGGATTGAGATTTCTTACCTGTACGGAATGATCCTGTCGACGACCTTCAGGCTGGCCTGAGATCTTACCTGGTCTTGACTGACTATAACGATCAAACCGCGGTCTCTGCACGTGTGGTGAGACACTACCCGCTGGATGAGGTGGATATCGATGGAAAGGGGACCTAAAATCACCATGTGTCACCCTATAAGACCCTATAGTACGGGCCCTCTTACTCTGCTCCCTATCCCTGCGGGTATCACGAATCCGTTTAGAAAGGTCCTCTGTAGTCTGAGCGAAAGCCTGTATGCGGGAAATATCTACATCATCTGATAGGGATGCTACCCTACAATCTCTTATCAAATGATCTGCCAAACCATCAACATAACGATGAACTCTGGCTCTTATGGTATGTACAATATCTGGTGCATATCTTGCCAAAGAATTAAACCTGTGGCTATAATCCTTCACACTCATGGTTCTTTGCTTCAGATTGATAAACTGGTCAAGACGGGCCTCTCGAACTTCCCGTGGAAAATAGTGGGCAAGGAAGGCCTCAGAGAAGTCCTCCCACTCTGCTGGCGGAGCATCAGGTCCTCTAGATCTCTCCCATGCCTCATACCAAAGGATGGCTACATCACGTAGCCGAAAAGAAGCCAACTCCATAGCCTCTGTGACGGAGGCATGCATCACCCTCAATACTCTATATATGTGGTCTATAAAGTCTTGAGGATCCTTCGTAAGACTAGATCCTGTAAATAGTGGAGGGGCCAAATGAAGAAACTCTCGTACCTTCAAACATTCCGACCGGTCTCTTTGAATATCTACTCCTGACTCCAATTGTCGCTCATGAATAGAAACCATCCTAGTCAGCAACTGAACTGCCTCTCTCATCCCCTGCTCCTAGAGATCTCTAGTGGAGAAACAATAGGTATTGGAGGTCCTGTGTCCGTAGCTTCCTCAGGTACCAATGGAACTGGTGAGGCTGGGGTATTGCATCACCTCGGGCTTCAATAGGTGCTGGGGAGGCTGGTACTAGGGGTACTGGAGATCCACCCTGTGCCTCAGAGGGAAATCTATCACTTTGACCTGGTGGGGAGCGACTAGTACCTTCCCTTGGATCCATACCTATCTCTCAATCTGCCATATCCGGAGCGAGTGTAGCCTGTTAGATAAGAAACATAAAGCACACCTTAGATTTCAAATGTTCTTATACTTTTGCAACATAGCATGATCTATCAGTTTAATGAAATGTAACCATTCCTAAATACCATCTAGCCTCTTGATTATAAGTGTGGTGCACAACACACCCATAAGCAAGACTCTACTAGACACGGCTTGTGGACCCCCCGGGATACGACCTGCTCTGATACCAAGTTTGTCATGCCCCGAAATAGGGGCGTAACTGGAACTCGATACCCTAATACATTGAGTTACCCACTAAAACATACTAGCTAAACCAAACTTGCGAGGCAAAAAGATTGGACAACACAACCTCTAAAAACTGAAGCCTCGACCCAGAGGTCATGACCTGAAAGAGAATAACCATACAAACAATGGTAGACAAACCGAAAAATAAAACAAAATAAAGATGTACTATCTAGCCGACGAGGCCACAACCGAAAACATACCTACTTACACACACACCTATATATACATGCCAAGCTATTGGCTAGAGGTTGAAACATACAAAAAGAAACCCAAAATATTGTGTCCACAATAGCTTCTATGAGTGACATAAGCATTGTCGGGACATTACCCCCACTATACCCAAACTGTACAACCAAAGTAAACATCCTCTGATAGCCCCAGAATACTCATAGCTGAACTTGAATCCTAGCGGGTGGGTCGATTAGAGTCCCTGCCTGTACCCGCTCGTACAAAATAAAAAGCAGCGTTCCTAGGCAAAGGGACTTCAGTACGAATAAAAATGTACTGGTATGTAAAGCGAAAAGTAAAATCATAAACATTTACTGTAAAAGGGTAATACAGATACCACCTGAAACTGAAACCCAAATAATCTCCATGGCTGACCTTTAGCCCCTACCACTTAAATATGCATGGTATGCTCGTATAATCATATGTTGTGAATACATGTATATATATAGATGCAAATGCATGACATACCCAACCAAATGATAGCAATGGTGGTGCTTTACGGTAGCGAACCGACATCATATTCTCCAACTTGTGGCCATCTAGTCTCATACGTATAAATATAGGAAATAGGCCCCATACCTCCCGGTTATAGCTCGGGAGTAGAATGTATAGCATGTCATGTCATGGATTTATAACACCTATGAGTTACTGTTGTCATGTTGCCAATCTTGGCCCGTTTGTAGTCTTGTTCTCATAACCCCATAATAACTTTCGTATAACATATAATAATCTCATGGAACTTGACATGTTCTTCCAAATAAGCTTGAAAAGTTAACTCAAATTTTAGAAGGATAACCTAACCTTGTTGATATTCATAACAAGTTTAAGGTGACTTACTTAGTTCCTAACTTGGTTCCTAGATAATTTATAAAAGAAATATTTCAAAAACCAAGTGTTCTAATAGTTTACATTTAAATTATATTTGAGAGTTTTGAAGGTCGTGAGCTACTTTAAAGTTTTTCTTTAATAATAACTTTAGTGGAGAAAGAGGGCTGGTCAGAAGTAGTAAGGGTCTCGCGGGACACTTTAATACACATCACCCAAGGAATAATACGAATTTGTACATGCGGACATATAATCAAGGAAACTGATAAAATGACGTGTAGATGTCGAACACTCTATTTATCTGAATGAGTGAAATATCAAAATAACATAATCATGAAAATAATTCAGCTGAGATCCCAATGCCTTTCACTAAAGGTCTTTCTAGCAAGAGAATAACAAAATATCACATTCGGCGTTTTAGGAATTTTCCAGGAGTGGTGCTAAAATGAGGGACGTAGCTTCGCCTTAACATACCTTTTCAATGAATGTTCGAATGACCGTAGGTTCTTCATGAAAGTTGTTCCTTACGTCCTAAACTTCGCAAACACTATATATACACAGCTGGTACACACATATAAACAGTTCATAATTGTTTTTAAATCGACAGATTTGCCAATTGGCCTCAACTTGACGAAATGTCCGTAGAAGTTCATAAAAACAATCATAAAAGAGTCCCGAGATGATTACCTTAGTTAACCATGCCATACTACACCACATATATTATGCACGACTAGCGAAAAAGTACGGGATCTTACAGGTAAATCGATAATTACATTTTGTTTAATTTCAAGTTTTCAACTTATATATATTCATAAAATAAAAAGTTATATTATACATACTAACACCTTACACATAGAAAGATATATATTTAACCAAAAGTAGAAGTAACTTTCTTTGTTAATCAATTATATATACATAAAATGTATTAAATCAAGATAAAAAAACTATATAAATTGAGAATACAAATATTATTAGTAATATTTAAAAGATGCTATATAAAAATGAGATAAAAAAAGTATGAAATATATTTTACAATACTTTTCGTATCATATGTATAGCTTAAATATGACTATTCTCCTTTTTGAATATTTAAATTAGAATTATATATGTGCAACAAATTGAAAATTAAAACATCTAAAGCAATTTGTAAATGAGAAAAATTACCTAAATACACAACTTATTTATCATATTTTTAATTTTTTTCTATTATTTGAAAAAATTACAAAATATCATACTCTCTCCTATTCTCGGATACATCACTTTACGCGATGTATCGGTCGGATACATCACTTTACGCGATGTATCGGTCGGATACATCACTATAAGCGATGTATCGGGATGTAATACATCACTTTGAGCGATGTATTGGTTGGATACATCACTATATGTGATGTATCGGTCAGATACACGTGATGTATCGGGGACGTTGAGTGATGTATACCAAACAAAGACGTGAGGTATCGAGACGTTGACTGATGTATCTGAAATTGGACGTGATATATCAGGACAATTTGAGATGTATATGGATTCCACCAAATATAAGAGCTTTTTGTAATTAAGAAAAAAAAAGTATGGATAAGATGTAATTAGCTCTTAACACTATAAAATTTGTGTAAAATTCCTTAATTTTTTATTAAAAATATTGATTTACAAAGATACCCTCTAGAAATATGGTGAAAAAAATATAAACAATATTGGGCCTTTTTTCTTGTCTTCATATCGCGGGACACATTGCACATAGCCTATAATTTATTTATTTTTAATCTTTTTCTTTTTCACTTTAATTTGTTTTACTTCAATTTTTTTAAATCATCATATACCGCTCTATTTCGACAATGTAAAAATATAATATCAAGAACAAAGTAATAAAATTAATATTCAAAAGATAATTAAAAGTACTAAAATGTGAATTGTGAGGCATGTAATAGCTATTTTTATTTTTTATTTTGGCCTAACATCAATTATCTTAAAAATAGAATAAGAATTTATTATAACTGGATAAATTATTTGTATACCTTAAAATTCTACGACAATATAGGCTTACACATGGCCAGAGAAAATTAACGATTAATAATACCAAGGTTTCTTCTAATTTGGTTTTCTAGCATGGACATGCTTTACACTTGACTACTGATAAGATAAAATTAATACCTAGTGAATACTTGACTAATTAATGTTCTCACTACTTAGGTTGAGTAAACTGATCTCCCAAGCAAAGTTCAGTGATATTTATAATTAATTAAGGTAGAGTAAATTGATTTCCCAAGCAAAGTTTACTTAGTGATAATCATCTTGGTTTCAATTAATTAAGGTTGTAAAATTTATTCTTCCAACAACAATATATCAAATGCAAGGATGGTTTACCACTTGCACCCTTCTGATATTATTAATTATTATTATTATATTCTTATAACATAAATATGGGTAGTAAACGACGAGGTAAATGTATTTTATTCGACCTCCACTCTTTTTAAATGTAATATAGTATATAGTAGGATAAAAACTTCCACATATAATCTAGAGATCTATGCATGCATTTGACACATGAAACTGTTTTTAAAATAAGAACTTTTCGAAAAGAAAAATGATAAATACTTTTTTGATGTAGATGAGAAAATTTAATGCTACTTTTTGAAAATAAAAAAAAATCATTATGTATCGCGAGTTTATTGTTTTAAATTCAGCTAATGAAAAAATTAATTGATTTAAAAATTAATCACTTTATTTTATTGATTAACTATAACATATATTGGATAGAAAACGATGAAGCAAATGTATTTTATCCGGCTTCACTCACTTAAATGTAATATATAGTAGGATAAATAATTCAACATATTGTAATGTTCCATTTCTTGTGAATTAATTTTTAATTCAATATATATACAAAAGATTTCAAGGCCTTCAATCTTGAACATCATATGTATAGCTATTAAGCTTCTGCATTATTGTCTTGAACCCACATCGAGAAAGCTTGAAGAGTGTTTGTATCAGCTCTGTGATGCTTTTGAGTAAGCTCAAGAAGAGCAGGCCATGTGAAGCTGGGATATAGTCGAGGATTGTTGTAGTCCAACAATTCAGTCGGTGGACTCACCATCTTATCTTTGTCTGGACAAACAAAAAAAAACAAGTAATTTTCTAGAAATCTTATTTTTAACCATTGCTCTATGCAAGCAACTTTTGTATCTACCATTCGATAGCGCCAACAAAAGGCCAAATATCAAATATGTATCATGTTGTACGTCTAATAATTCATGATGTATCTCACTGCGCGTCATGTGAATAGATCTTATAATATTTATCACCTAAAAATGTATTGTTTGTCTAATTGACACTGTTTATATTACTTGTATGTAATACATAATACATTAGTTTATTATATAGTTCTGGTGTGTAAATTTGCTAACCATAAA